AGAAAGTGAGAGCTCTGGTACTAGTTGTAAAGACTTGAAATTCATAGCTATAATAGCTTTCACTTGAGAAGGATGAGGACAGACAACAGGTTAATGGAGAAAGGGATTTTCGGTGACTATGTTTAGGATAAATTAGGAGGGAGAAGAAAGAATCTGGTGGGCAAGTTTGCTTTAATTTTATTCTATAGGGTAGAGTGAAGTCTATCTATGCTCTTCTTTTTCAAACTTCAGTTTTACTCTCAAACATCTGCTCATGGAGACATTGACACAAAAGGGCTGATGCTGATGGTAAAAACAACAGGAAAAAAACATGAAAGAAATGTTTAGACTTCCTAGTTGAATAGTAAGATTCAAATATTTATAAGTCTAGTCAGAGAAATACATGGCATTGGTACAGAGAAACAGCTGAATCAAACCAGCAGATGGCATAGTGGTTACATCGCTGGACTCCCACATGGCTGACCATGATTCAAGTCTCAGACCCAGTATCTTAAAAAAACTCAAACAGGGTACATATGTATGCATGCCCAAGATCCCAAGAGGAGAATGGAAGAGAAGGGATCCTGGTGTGGCCACCCCCCAGGAAGTGATTTCTCATTTTCCCTCTCACTGTCTTTGTCTCTCTCTCTCTGGCAGCGCACATGCACTAAGGCAAAAACAAACAAACAAACAAACAAACAACAACAACAAAAAAAAACTCAAAAAATTCCCTTTCATATATATGGAACTATTTTAATACAAATGCCAATTTTATGAAGTAAAATTAACCAGTTATCTGTAGTTCAAAATTTACCTCCACTCATGCAAAAATAGTCAAGACTTTACTTTTGTTCATCAACATGTTTTTTTCAACCTTTTAGCTTCTATTATACATTATTCCTGCTTAACATCCTTGCCAATCAGATGCTACTCTCTACTACATGACAGGTAGCTAAATACCTACTCTGATTTCCCCAGCTCTTCCTTCTTGGCTTCTCTCTTTTCTAATTGTGCCAGGAAATTTCCCCCTTGAACTACTAAAATTTATTCCATATATGAAATCTCAGCATTTTTGAGTTTCCTTCTGGGTCTTATGGTTAATATTTTTTTGTTGTGTTATTTTCAGAAGAGATCATTAGTATCTAGTTTCATAAAAAGATCATTTTTAATAAAATGATTTTGGACTTGGTCCATGACATATGTGCCAAATGTTCTTCCTCCTCAAAATAGCATAAATCAACAACTGTATAAACATGAGAACTACTACAAAGATGCTGTGGTGGGACCAATTTAGCTGGGTTGAGACAGAAGGGACAGAGAGGTGCAATTCAAGTGTAACGCTAGGTGGAAGTAAAGGATGAAAAAGCTGACTTCTAAAACACATGAATTTATATTTACTCTTCTACAAGAATGATTTTTTTAAGAATTATTTTATTTTAACTTATTTATTTATTTATTTATTTTAATTTGACCAGAGAGGGACAGAGCGAGAGCAAGAGAAAGTGAGAAAGCAAGCTGCCAGGTCTGGGACTCAAGCAGTGGTTGGCCACATGGGAGTCCAGTGCCCTTAATCACCATGCTACCTGCTGGCTTCAGGAATGAACTTCTTTAAAATCTATTATTTTTATAACTTATTTTATAATAGAAGCAACATATACTTGTATAGTACTATCTAAAATAAAAAGTTAAAAGTTTTGACTTCTTCACTACTATCTCGCTCACCAAAGGTAGACATTTTCAACAGTTTGGGGTAAAACTGCTTTCTAAACACTTCCTTAGTAGTGTATATTTAGTTTTTTAAAAACACTAACTGAATTATATTATACACATTATCCAGGAACTGGCTTTTACCTTAAATGTGTTTTATAGCTAGCATTCCATGTCGTATATTTAAGATTATCACTTTTTATTTTAGCAGTTGCATAGTATTCTATAATATGGACCAAATACTGTTTATTCAATTAGTCCTCCATTTATGAATATTTGGGTTGCTTCAGTTTCTCACTGTAGTGACAAATGCCATATACCTTTGTGCAAACACATGCCAGAATGTCTGTAGGATAAATTTCTAGGAGTGGAATTGCTAGGCCAAAGGGCATTTACAGCGACACATTGGTAGGGTCCCCAAATTTTCATCCTTAACATTGTACCATTTCTGCTCTCTCCCAAAAAGAGACTATCAGAGCTATTTGTTATTACCTCTCTGCGCTTGGCTTCATTCTTCTGGTATTTGTTGAAGCAGTGGCATAGGATATTTCCACAGCAGCAAGCCACATGCACCAAGGGGCCTTCTTTGCCCAGGCTCAAGCCTGACGATACTGCCAGCACCAAGGTAATGGTTTTGATAACCAGAGTCCACTTACCCAAATAGCCCCTAATAATGAAACCACTCAAGATAGTTTTTATCTGCAGGTCAAACACAGAGAGTTGGAATATAGACTAAGGAAATAAATAAGGCTAACGAGCAAAAATTCATACCTTATTATAGAACCTGCACCTTTTGAATGTGAGACATATAAACACTTCACCTACAGTGATCCCACCTTGGGAGGGAGCCCAGGAGCCTGGGAACCCGGGAGCCCAGGAGCCCAGGAAAATGTAAACTGTTCTTTAAGCTTTAACATTCTATTTTTTTGAGGGGTGAGGATCATGCAATAGCTGGACAAAGGTATACTGTAACTGTGAATGTGTGTGTGTGTGTGTGTGTGTGTGTGTGTGCCCCCAAGTGTGTGTGTGTGGAGACGGGGAAGGCAGAGAGGGAAGGATAGGTGTTCTCTCTACTTTACAAAATAGTGATCCCAGAGGCATGTTCTGAGAGGGCCAAGATTAATGTCCCTGAAACAACCTTAAAGGCTAGATAGACCCTTGATTCCCTGCCAAAAAAAATCTATGACAATTACTGGGTCAGGAAACAAAGAGGGCAAGGTTATCCCAGTAACCTAAAATCCCTGTGGTTTCTTAACTGTCAGTCACTGTTAAGCAATTTAAACCAAAAGTAGATTAAAATAGGGAGTTGGTCGCCCCCTACCCCCTTCTAGTCTAAATCATGTTGTGGGAAATGTAGCAAAATGATTTTATTACTTCTGCTCTAATAAAATTGATAATCCCACTTCTTTTTCAGGTCAGACTCTTGGGATATATATACTCTCGTAGTTTCTTGGGTAGGGAGTCAGGGAGGTCTTCAGGAGCCTGGTTCAACAGGAACCCTCTGGAGGCCCAGAATCAACTCCTTTTAAGTTCCAAGTGACCCAGCCTGAGAGATCTAAAGAATGTAAAAAGGTCTTAGACGGCCTCAGAGATCTGTTCTTATTTAACATTCACCAAACTGTGGCATATGCTAGAATAGATATTAAAAATTTTTAACCAAAATGGGTTCATATTGTTACCATTTATAAACAATTTTAAGAAACTCACCTCAGGAATTCCAGAGCCACAGGCATAAGGTGCAAACACCTTGACAAGAGATACAGCAAGGAAGGCAAATAGAAGAGCCCAGAGGACGTACATGAAATAATTGACTATGTAGGCAAAAGCTCCCTGGAATGGGAAAAAAGAAGCTTGTTTTAGCCTAGACAGCCTCAGTGAAGCATGCAGCTCTTCTGAGTAGTAGTTTTTTTTCTGGAGAAAAGGTCAAAAAGAAAAAGACTAACATTAAATTGTTTGCTTGTTTCTGGATTGTCAGTAAAGTAACTATGGAAACACTATTAGGCCACTTGGTACTGAAAATGAGATGTTTTGCTATACCCAATAGGAAATTTACAATGGAGTCAAGGATAGACAAGGAGGAAGGGCAAACTAAAAATCTTGAAACAAAACTCACTTTTTATGAGTGTTTTGATTGGTTTTGTAGTCAAATATTCATGATTCTATGTCAATTTTACCAAAAAAATCTCAACAGCCTTTTTTGTGGGGAGAGGTTGAATGACTGAATTTTGGCTACACCTATAAAGTGAAGACTAGCTCTAAAATTCACCTTTGGCTACTTATCTTGATGCCAAATTCCCAAAGGGGGTTACAGTGCCAAAATTCTTGGGTGTTTATTATTTTCTTTTAAAATTTTTTTGGTTATATACATTTAAGATATGTAACATGTTTTGATATACATATATCTAGCAAAAAGATTACAGTCAAACAAATTCACATATCTATCACCTTCCAGTTACTTTTCCTTGTGTGTATGGTAAGAGAACCTGAAATCTACTCTCTTGTCAATTTTCAGTTCATAATATTATTAAATACAGTCCTCATGTTGTACATTAGATCTATAGACTTACTCATATGACGTAACTGCAAATTTATGCCCTTTGGCTTACTTTTCCCCCATTTCCTCCCCCCCCCATCCCTAGTAACCACTTTTCTACTCTATTTATTCAACTTCTTTTCTTTTTCTTTTTCTTTTTGAGAGGTTTTTGCTATAGGGTACATGCGCTTGCCAGAAAGACAGAAAGAGACAGAGACAGAAAGCAAGAAACCACCCCCCAGGGGGGTTGGCCACGCCACAATCCTTGCTACAATCACTTCTCCTCCATTCTCTGCTCGGGATCTTGGGCACGCACACAGACACACCCAGCATGAGTTTAAGTTGCCAGGTCCAGGTCGCAGTTGACTACAGGGGAGTCCAGTGATGTAGCCATTATGCCAACTGCTGGTCCCTATTCAACTTCTTTTTAAACTTCACATATAATAACTACATTTTTGAGAGAATTTTGCTACCACAGACTCAGCAATGAGTTTATAAATAAAAAGTTTGAGGCCCTGACAATGCCAGATTTTTCAAAGATTAAAACAGGAAGAGCTGGGCCAGCAGGTGGCATAGTTGTTAAGGCATTGGGATCCCACATGACTGACTCTGTGACTCAAATCCCAGACCCAACAACTTGAAAAACATGCAGAGTGCATGTGTGTACATGCCCCAAATCCTGAGATAATGGAGAAGGAATTGCAGCATGGCCATTCCCCTAGGAGTGATTTCTTTTTTTATTTTTTTGAGAGGCTTCTGCTATAGGGCACATGCACTTGCCAGAAAGACAGAGAGAGACAGAGAGATGGAAAGCAAGAAATCACCCCCTAGGAGGGATGGCCACACTGTATTCCCCTCTCCTCCATTCTCCTCTCGGGATCTTGGGCATGCATGCACACGCACTCAGCGTGAGTTTAAGCCACCAGGTCCGGGACTCAAACCGTAGTTGACTACATGGGACTCCAGTGACATAGCCAGTATGCCAACTATTGCCCCCACCCCCAGGAGTGATTTCTCACTTTCTCTCTGTCTCTGTCATTCTGGTGAGTGCACATGCCCTATGACAAAAATCTAAAAATCAAATAAAATAGTAATAACTATTTTCAAAATGGAGAAATAAACTTTTGAGATCATTCCTCTATGATAATAAAGTAAGACACAAAAGAAATTTATTTTTGACCAGCAGTAAGGATTCATCCACATTTAAGGGCTTGCAAATAGTAATATCTTACAGAAAAAGTAATTTTGGGGACCAGCAGATGGCATGGTGGTTACATTGCTGGACTCTCACATAGTGGACTGTGGTTTGAGTCCCAGATGCAGTGGCTTAAAATGAATGCCAGGTGCGTGTACGTGTGTGCCCAAAATCCCAAGAGGAGAATGGAGGAGAAGGGATTGCAGGATGGCTGTCCCCCTACGGGGTGATTTCTCACTTTCTGTCTTTCTGCCTCTCTCTGTGTCTCTGTTGAGTGCATGTATTCTACAGCAAAAATCTCTCTCTCTAAAACAAGGCAATTTTGAACATCAGGAGCAAATGCTTGTTGATAAAAATATTCACAGTTGAAACTCACTTAAATGACATGAAATACAAAATTCAGTGGACTTTTGACTTTTCAAAACATAAAACACTATTAAAATGATCCATTGACCTAACCAAGGAGAACTGGAATGCTCAGTATTTTTTCTGAGTTCTAAGTTTGACACAGGTTTTCCATTATCTTGGCCCCTCAGAGAAACAGATAATTACTATCTCTTTGCCTTTTTAGTGTAGCTAGAGAAGAAGACTCCAGAGGTAGGAAACACTAAGGGAAAG